AGCAGAAACGTGAAGCATGTCAGACCGGCAGCCTTGAAACAGTGAGAGAAAGCTTGTTAGACAGAAGCATCACTTCGGGCTCTCTCACGTCTTGTTAGCACACCAGTGTGAATGAGGATGATTGACAGACAACACAGCCAGAAGGCCTTTTATTTCCTGGTAATGGCCGAGAGGAGTCCTATTCTACAGCTGGAGTTATCTAACAGAGCCTGCTCCCTGCTCCCCTGCTCAACACACGTACACTGTCACCGTGTATAACCAACTAAACAGGTTTACAAAAACACTCAGAGAAGAACACTGCACAGCGCTATCCTTAAAAGCTTGGTGCTCCAATTATTCTTTAAAATAAAATATGTAGTCCATTGATTTATAATGCTGCACATGTACATAAAATGTGGATTACACTCTCTGCTGGTGGTGTGGTTGAAATATCAAATATTTAGTAAGCACTCAAAATGTTCGTCTTTTTTTTTTTATTCATACAAATACGATGGATAGAGCAGAATTTGTCTAGAAAGACGTAATGACACTGTGGTTGTAAAATAAATGCAGAAGAGTAAAAGAAACAATATTTAGAAGAACTATGGAAATTGTTCATACTCAAATATATAATTGTATAAATGTTTTGTGTGACGCTCTCTCTCTGATTTTCCCTCCTCCTTCATATTTAAATGTAATAAAGCCTTGGCTAAAAGTGTAAACCTGTTTGGTGTCTTTAAATTGTTTTTGGTCTTCATGTTTTGAGCCTTGGTTTAGGAGGCAGTAACAGTTGTTCATTTGATCTGTGCACAAATCCAGTGTCCAGCTGGGAGAAGACACAAATTCAGAAATAGAGAGTGGAAGGTAAACAAGTGTCCACATTTAAACATATTCAATCCATAAGGTATTGAAATTCCGTGAAGCGTCATTGATTTTCCATTACTAATAGATTAGTACTCGAGTCCAACTCACTCCCTCCTTGTGTCCAGCAGGAGGAAGAAAAGAGTCTAAATGTTGTTTTAAGCCAGACAAAGTAATACACTCCTAGAAAGTCCCCCTGTTAAAAAACGGTAAACAACTGGCAGTAGGGTTGCCAGGAAGTTACTGTAAAATTAACGGTATATTGCTGTTGCTGAAATTTACAGTTTTCTACCGTTTTTGTAAATACAGCAAAAAGCTGTGATTTTAAACCTTAACAGGAAAATACTGTTGAAAGAATTAACTGATTCTTGATACTGTTTATTTGCAGATGTTTACTGTGAATTGTAAATACTACACCTAGCTATAGATTAATTTCCTTCTACCAAAATGGACACAATATATTTATTTTCTAAATCTAGAGATTTGATAAATGATTCCTTGCATCTCAGGTTATTATACACCATGTTTTAAAATAATAGCTAAACAGTGCCTTTAAAATTGCAACTTAAAATGTTAAGACAAATGATAAAAATTCAAACTGTCATCTCAAATCACATCTGTCTTTATTGAAACTGTAACAAAAACAAAGAAGATACACTTTAAGAACATGAAGGTTAAATAGGTAAAAAATCTAGCACAAACATTTACATTAAGACATTTAGCAAAGGCCATTTCCAATGTATAGTACATAAAAGAGTTTTGGTGGATACATTTTAAACAGAGAAGTAAATAAAAAATCTGTTATAGTTTCATATAACAGAATAAACAACCTGTCCCCTGAGGGAAATTGTGTCCCTGGACCTGCACCTCCCTCTGATTTCTCCTTCCAGACTGAAACTGCCACAAGGATTCTGTAAAGGGAAAAAACAACATTAGAATAAAAGCAGCTCCAGCTGAACAGTGAACATTATCATATGGACAATCCTTTCTGAATATTCTCCATATACAAAGAAGTAAAGTAAAAGTATGAAGTAAAACTAGTATGAATAAAAGTAAGTCCTGGAATTACTTTAAGTACATGAATTCAGGATGTATGGCAGAAGCTTTATGTGTTAAAACAGTAAAAAACAAAAAACATGCTCCAGGTCCATTCTGACAGTCTCACTAAAGTTTCCTTTTATACATTTTCAAATACTGTATATTATACTATTTATACTATGGCTATATTGCCTAGTAGGCCCAGCTAATCATCATTTCGAATTCAATATTTAATCAATAGTCAGTGTCAGTTTCAGTTGAAGCTGAAACAAAGAAATGTTAGCTTGTTGATGTTAGCTAACCTTACCATTCTAGTACAACCAGGCAAGTCAAGTTCATTATAGCCCACTTAGTTAACCACATTACAAGAAAATGTTTTGTTTTTTGTCCCATTTAGCAACTGTTAAGATCTGTATTTCAAGCTAATGTTAGCTGGCATAGAATTCACTCACTGTGTTTGTGTCTGCCTGCAGTGTTTCTGTGTAATTTCCAAATCTAGCTAACATTAATCCCACAAATGACTTCAAATTTAGTAAGTGATGGTTTTGCCAATTCTAACTAGCAAAGCAGTAAGGCACTCACCTCTTAATTGTCAGGATGGAGATGGATGACAATCGGGCAAAGCCAACTCTACTGTCCTTTCAACCATGTGGTCTCAACTTCTTTTTCCCAAAATGCATTGCAAAAACTACGGTAAATTACTGTTTTGTTTCCTTCAAGCGATAATACAGTAAAATATTGTTATAAACCGTTATAATACAGTAATGTCCTGTATTTAAACATAACAGGATCATACTGTTGAAATTTCCTTGTAAATTTACAGCAATTTCTTAGAGTGTATATCTAATAACAATATAAGAAGAAACATTTGAATGTTTAAATTTTGTTTGCACAATATAATAGCAGAGCTTCAAAGTGAATTACGATTTATACTTTTTTATTTGTGTGGACTGTAAAGTTATATTACATTTATCCCTTCTACTTAATATTCTTAATGTGTAAGTTGTTCCTCAGTGAGAGATTTGTTCATCTTTGTTGACCTGCTCAGTTTTATGAAGCGTAGCGCTCTACTATTTCTAGTGGAACAACAAGTCCTGCCAGCCTGTGTGATTCTCAGGCCTTCTCCTCCTCCCTGAATACATTGAATTTATGGCTCTCTGTTGGATTAAGGATAAACATTCAAATTGATCTACCCATCTGGAATCTTTTTTTAACCCGATCGTGCTTTCAGAGTGACCATTAAAGGAAGTTTCTTTAGTTAATTAAAGATATAAAGTGACATAAACATACATGTTTACTATTGTTGCAAGGCTTCTGGATACTCATAAACTGCTATTAGGGGAGGGGTATTTTTAGTGGGGATGGTGACACTGCCCAATCCCTGCACAGTGTAATAAGGCAGAGAGACACAAACATTAAGTTACTCATGTTATTGATTTATCTCTTTAGCCTGCATGGTCTTGTTTCAGTTGTTAACTTTCTCATTAAAAGGCATGCTGGGGAAAAAATAATAAATTTCACTGTCATTAAGGACTTTTTTCACTGTGCCCAGATTTATTATGCTGAGGTATGATGACGCCAATAAGTGTTGATGTCAGGTGCGTTCACTTTTTTAGGGCTTCCCACTAAGTAAAGTGCAATCATTTCTATCAGCGGGAAGGTCTGTTTATTTTCCTGAGGCAGGACTTTGGATCTGGGAGGATGTTGTTGAAGCATTTAAAATTCCCTTCAACTCCTCCACATGAGGAAAATAGTCTGAGGTATCTGGCAGATAACCTTTATGTGACAGTATACAGATGACCTCATCTGAAAGAAAACAAATAATTATAAGAGTCTTTAATTTAGCCAAAGCAGTTGTTTATTTTAATCCAATAAATCTATAGAATACGTTATTTCTAAAAGCCTTCGACATGCAAGTGTTGTGGTCTGTCAGTGAGTCTGCCCACCATTTTTGAAAAGAGCGAAATGTCTCAACTAATTTCGGTTTGATTGCTGTGAAATTTGTGCATTCATGCCCCTCTCTGGATGGATTGCAATCTTGTTGGTGACTCTTCATCTAGTACCAGAACTGAATTAACAGCATGCATGTTAGTATGCGGAATATAGAATTCCCCATATATTACCATTGATCGGTACCGCAGTCTAACAGAGCTTCTAGCAATACACGACTCAGACTTTGTAACCATTAAGTTAAAAGTTAAAATGTTCTGTGTTTTTTTTATGAATTTCCTAAAAGAGGTGGTCAAATCTGATGCCACTTTAGCTCAACATAGTTTCAACACATTCTGAACCACATTGGATCAACTTGACTGAGGATAACTTTTATTCTGTCATTTAGTCATTTCCCAGTACTTCAATGGACTGTATAAAATAGCGCTTTTCTCGTCTTCTGACCAATCAAAGCGCTCTTACACTACACTACACAATGTCACATTCACCCTTATGCACACATTCACACGCTGAGGGTAGAGGATGTTATAAGGTGCACATCAGTGTTAAATAGACCCATTCAATCACATTCACACTCTGCTGGCAACATATGCCACTTGGGAGCAATTTGGGGTTCAGTGTTCTGCCCAAGGACACTTCGACTTTTGGACTGCAGGAGCTGAGACCAAACCACCCAAACCACCCAAACCACCCAAACCATCCAATTGAGAGACGACAAACTTCCACTAAGCCACAGATGCCCCTTGACTTCTAATGGTATCACAACATGTGTCTGGAAACCGTTACAGCCATCACCTTTTATAAGTGAGGTCATTGTGTTGCATCCTGTTCCACTCTCCCCTACAAACACTATGTACTCACTATACATTACATTATAGAAATAAAGAGGCTACAAATTATTTTTATAAATGCATTGCTGTTCAGATGCTTAAGTAGATTTTAACTGGGAAAAAATGGCGATAAAATGATCAAAACAATGAATTAATGTAGTAAGAGAGTTTGAATGCACAAGTAGGCTACAAGTTATTCACTACACATTTGAGAGGAGGAGGATAGAGAGAGAGAGAGAGAGAGAGAGAGAGAGAGAGAGAGGGAGACAGTATGTGTGAGTGACAGAGAGAGAGCGGTAGAGAGAGACAGAGAGAAAGAAAGAGAGAGAGGGGGGGTAATACGTTTATGGTCAAGCAGGATCAGGGAAACAGAGAACATTCATGGTGTGGCAAGAGCGCTCAGACGGCTAAGACAAACCATGTGAGGTGAGTCAGCACGCTTTAAAAGATTTAATTAGGGTTTTGCGGCGACAAATAACACTTAAGGCTCTTTGGTTTGAAATTTGAATTCACAAAGAAAAATGTTTATGCAAGAAGTAAAGTTGGGTGTTTATAAGTCTAAGGCGTATATTAAAGCATGACTATGTTGCTTAGTGATTCAGTTATGTGTGCTTATTCTCTGGTTATACATTCACATGACGTTAGCGAGCAGGAAGGAGGGTGGATTTGATCAAGCAACAGTTTAACTATTTTCGCACACAAGTATTTGCATTTTCTTAGTGCAAGCTATATTTTTTTCATGTGCAGAGCATTCCTGTGTTATTCACCTAGCTGGTGTTTTGCGTTACTTGATCTTCGTAATTGTTTAATTTGTACAGGGATGGTTAGTTTGTGACTCAGTGTAAACTCATTCTGTTGGTTGTATGGAGGTGCATGTTAGACAAAGAAACAGCTTAAAACTCTAGAGAGACACAATTAAAATCTAAATAAAATGTACACATAACTGAATTCCAATTCCAGTTTTTTTTTATTTGACCATTGCTGTAGGTTGTTTTGGTTGTTATATTAGTGTTTAAATCACAGTTAATCATTCAGAAGTAAATTAAATGCATCTCTTTTGCCGACTTCTGACACTGATTCAAGGTTTACATGAAACGTTTTGCTAACTCACATAATTTTGTGACCAGCATTTCATTGGATGTTACTTTTCTCCTTGATTGAATCAATACACCAATGATAACAGAATAAACAAACGTGACTTTAATTTAAAAAATATTGGAAAAAAGTACAAGAAGCCTATTATTAGACAAAAAGGACAAATGTTCATTAAACACCCTTCAGTAACTACTCCTTGCAAATTATCAGAGGGCTTGTTTTTTTATTTTTTTAAGGTTTGTTTTGGGGCTTTTTATGCCTTTATTTAGAGATAGGACAGTCGAAAAGAGTCAGAAATTGGGGAAAGAGAGAGTGGGGACAGACATGCAGGAAAAGAACCACAGGTTGGACTTGAACCTGGGACGCTGGGCTGCTTGGAGGACTTCAGCCTCCATACATGGGGCATGCACACCAACCACTAGGCTACCAGTGCCCCTATCAGAGGACTTACTACACTGTTTGTCGTGGCTTTATTTTACATGTCGTAAAAGTGTTTATCTATTATTGTTGGCTCACCTGTGTCGTTCTGCCACGTTGATTCACACGTCATACTCTTTTGACTTACCGTCAGCAGCTAGACGTCAATTGGTTCATGATGCAGGTGATTTTCTTATTTCTATGAGCTGTAACGGATGTTTAGTTTATTCCACCCCTGTGTGGAGATATACTTTACAATGCATAACATTTAGCAAAAACAATCATATGATGTCATAGTTACTGTAGATATGACAGCGTTACATGAGTTTAATTAATGCTGTTATCAAAGTCAGACTACTGTGTTCCAGGTAAAGGTGGTATAATTGCAGGGTATCTGAGAAATGATTACCAATTCAGCGCCTCGGCTGTTGTTAGCAACAAAAAAGTCAATACACGATGATTCTGGATGGATTTCTGTATATTACAAGTTAAAACCACATACTTTACAGCTGACATTAGCAACAATCAGTCACAACTCATGTTAGCATTCTTCTAGATAAATGACTGTTAGCTTGGAAGTGCATTAAAGCTAATAGAAACATTTGTTAGTGTTTCACAATGCAATATGAATATTGTAATTCTCAGTTATTACTGAAGACAGTTCGATATCTGCCTTCTAGCTAACATGATGTTACTGGAAAGTTCTTTGAATGCTAGCATAAGTTAGCATCAAGTTGCAGCTAACAGGTTTTGGTATTGCTGCTTTGTCTGCGGTGTATGAATGCGTATGAATGGGATTAGTTACTTCTGATGGTCTCGCTTCATAGCAACCACTGCCATCAGTGTGTGAATGTGTAGGTGTGACATGCGGTGTAAAAGCGCTTTGAGTAGTCTGAAGACTAGAAAAGCGCTATATAAGCTCAAGTCCATTTATATGTCTCATTTCTATGGCCAAATGAGCCACTTTATTAACACTACCCATTTTCTTTTCAGTTGTCCATAAATGTAGAGGATCACAATTATTAGTTACCCTATATTATTACGATCACATAGAGTATGACATCAGAGCAAAATGGCAGCTTTGAACACTGGGATTTTTAAGTGTGGGGCAGATGCATGTTTAATGATCTATATCACTCTGTAACAGTTATTCAGTAAATGCTACTGAGCCACCTCCTAATCACTGAGGTGAAATAGATTAACAAGCATAAGTGGAGTTAGTACAGTATGTGTGCAAAGTTGACACATGGTCCTCAATTGTATTATATGCACATTATACTACAGAATATATTTACCAGCCTTCCACTTCACATTGATGGAAGTATCATATGACAGGCTCCTTTAATCAATATTTTTTCACATCAGTCTGTAGAGCAGTGTGGAACATAAGACATAACTTTGAAACGTCTGTCTTTGAGAAAAAGTTGTTCTGGCACACTCTCCCCATGAGAAGAAAATAAGACATTTTTGCACTTGGATGCAAGTTCATTAATTATGCAAAGGACTGTAAAATGATCTGTGCTTCTCATCCTGATACTTCAGTGTTGTGTTTCAGCTGTTACATCACTGTTGTAGTGCCTGAGCAACAATGCAAAATGAAAGTAAAGAAAACAATCATGGATCACTTGCCTACTGTTGTTTCAGTTTGTCCTCTTTTGTGAGCGGCAGGCTCACCGGGGACACGGCTTGATCTAAACTGTGTGAGTGCAGAACAAACAGTCACCATGGAAACAAGCAGTGTTTGTCCCTGAGGAGAATCTATTGACTTCATTAAAAAAAACATTAAAGTCTTAGATTCTCTGAATGGCTGGGAAGAGCTGAAACATTGGCTTACTTGAAATCTATTTACTTACAGCTTAAGGCTATTTCTGCAGTTAAGGGGATGGGTTATTCAATTATTGTGCACAATAAGGGAAATATTACCCATTTTGAATAAACACATCAAATTATGTAAAGTACAAGTGCTTACAAATCATTTATAGTTTGATTAAGAGACACCGGATACTTGTGATATTGATGACAATCATCGTGTTACTGCACATTTACTTTAAATAGAAACCATTTTGTCATGGACTGATGTCTAATAGCTTTTTATCTGGTTAATTTTAGGAGGTTTTCTTTTTTTACCAGAGTTTTATTTTAAGCCATGAATAGTCTCTGAGGGTCTCCCTTCAGGCCACACAAAGCCCCAACATCTACGCCAACATGGTAAGGCAACTCGGTTGTCATGTATCAGGCAAACTCAGGACTAAAATAGTCAGGATGCTTGGGATGCTCTTGTGAAGGTCAGTGTTTTTAGCCCATAGTAATAACTCAAGGCAACTCAGATGAGGAGATAAACACATTTTAATCAACTCAGATATTCTCTACTTCTTAGATAGCAAGACAGTTTAGAGAGGCCTTTTTCAGTATGATTACATTGATCTATAGTGTCTTAGTGAGGGTGCAGGGGTTAAACAATATATTTTGAAAGGGTACTGAGCATGCTGTGTGTTTTAATAATCATCACACTGCAGATCTTTTTATGAACACCCCTATAATTTGCGCCATCCTTACTTAAACATTATAAATATGTATCCACCGTTCTTATCAGTGTCACTGCAAACACTTCATACTATTATTATATACAAGTTGTCAAAGTAAGGGATGAATGGGTAGAGGGGAAAAAACACATTACACATTTCCTTCACCTTAACAAAGAGGAAATGTTGACGTCTCTATGTACTTTAGTGCAAAGTTTAAATAATCTGTCTGAAAATAAACATGAATGAGCGGGCAGTTTAGTTTGTGTAGCAGGTGTCATAAAGTCAGGTGCTGATACAATCTTGTCTGTGTCAACTGGATCTAATATTGCATGGGTGTCACCTTTTTTCTATGATAATGTTTGCATAGAGGGGTTAGCTAAGGTGTGATCCAGCCCTCACAACAAGACTGTACCCTTAAGAGCTCATACAAAGAACAAGTGATACATATTTTCATGTCATGTTCCAGAGGTTTTTCTTATTTATTTCTTAAATTCCTCTCTTCAACAAGGAGGTCAAGAGAGCATCATACAGCCTCTGAATGATGCCGTCAAGGGATGATTCAGCTTGAAAAAGTTAATACACGCTCAATCAGTTTTTTACACTTTACACCTTCGCTAGTGAATGTGAGAACTGTCATTCTTGGTAGTTATTTTTTTATGGGTTTACGTCAAATGGCCATTCTGTAAGATGACTCCTCGTCTGCAGAAAACAAATAAAAAATGCAATCAAACATGCAGTGTAGACACTGTCACACCTCATGAGCCTGTTAGAACTTGTCTTTATTGACTTGTAGTTTTGGCAAAAGTGACACTTATAGCTAGTCAAAGAGTGATGACATGTGAACCCTGCAGGTGATGAAAGAGAAAAGAATAACCTCATTTCATGAAATCTAACGAAGTCCTTTGCGTATCAATCACTCAATCTCAATCAATTAATCTTTATTTGTATAGCGTCAAATCATGACAAGTGTTATCTCGAGACACTTTACAAAAAGCAGGTAAAAGACCTTACTCATTGTTATGTTACAAAAAGCAGGTAAAAGACCTTATTGCTATATTAAGACCCGACTTAATCCATCATGAACACTTTAGCATCTTATTAAAGTTGCCAATAAAAAACTAATTTTCCAATGAAAGCAAAGTCTTATTTGGATACAGTGGAAACTCTTAGTTTGGATTTGTTTACTTAACTCGTCAAACTGCTACTGAATGTTTTATGACTGTTTTTGAGATCTTGTCTTGAATTAGCTGACAGTAATGCACAGTACAGCACAGCCTGACGCTTCAGCAAATGCTTTCTCTCTAGTAAATGTTCCCGTCTTCAGGGGACAAGTACCCAAACCTCGTCATGTGTTTATACAAAGGTACATTCTTTCTATCTCTTTCTGAGCCTTTTCACATTCAAGTTCACTTCTTATTTGATTTGGACGTCCAGATCTGCCAAAGTCCTGAAAATATTATAGTTTGAACCTCTTCACTCTACAGTACTCTCTGTCCCATTGGTTAGTGCGTAAAGGCTATCATGTATAAGCTGTGTAATGTCAGCTAAAGACATCACAAGCTTTGATATTATAGCCACTGGGCCTCAGAGGGAAGAGAAAGTCAGCTCTTCCATTCTATGAGCAGCATTAGTCTATGATCCTGGTTAGGTTTTACAAAGGAAAGTGTCAGTGGTGCTGCTTGCATGATAATGAATTATAGTCAAAAGGAATCATAGCAGCTTTGTGCAGCTGCAAAGGGAAACATAGTTTGACTGATATTAAATTTGGGTTTAGAAGAAAATAAATTGGGGGTGGATGCTAGTGGAGAATAACCGATTTACAGTCCAGTCCAGGAGACAAGACCATCCCCACATTTTTCTCAAATGTTCTAGGTTAGCCCATTCTCTGGGCCATCAGAAGTTGATAACGATTCCTCCCAACTCGGGGCCATTTGGTCCTGGGGGGCCAAAAAAACCTTTGTTATGCTTTAGTCAAGTAAAGTCACAAATGATCTTCTTAAAATTGCATCAATAGCCCTACAAATATATAATTTGGCACTACTGGAATATAAAGGAAAGTAGCAAAATTAGATTCTGGTACTTTTTGCTATTACAATTTCAATTGTCATGAAAAACCTAAAACTCACAAAAGACAATGAAAAAAATTCTGCGGAACAAACTGTCATGGAATTTGATACTGAATTTTATTGAAAACGTAATTTTTAATATCATTGTCTCATTTATATTTAAAACGATTCCCTAATTCATAAGCTTTAATTTGAGTGGGAGATGACCTTTTTACCCTGAATATTTCACTCTCTGTGGCCCAAAATAAATTACTTCACTATACCTTATATCAAAGAGAACAGAATTCTTGTGCCCCTGCCTTCCAGATGGGGGTTAGTACTGCACTTAAGAGTTCTTTTTTTTCATATATTCTTTGTCTAGTGTTATCTAATGAGAGGAGCATGACAAGTGAACACGGGAACCTTATTGTAAAGCTCATCTCTCTTTCTCTATTTCATTTAACCTTTGTTGACTAGGTGGATGTTAATGTAGAATATATCAACTTATGTTATGGTATGAAATTAGGTCAAATCGGGTCTTCTCAAATGAGTACAAGGATTATACAGGCTGCATAAAAAGGAGCTACTTGTGACCACCAATTACAAGCCAACCCTCTACCCTGCAGAAATATTCAAAATTATTTTTAATTTAGCTAATTTATGTGGATGCCTAACACTGAGACTACAGACGGAAGTGAAGTGAAGGGTCAGGGGCATACATTTAAAGTAGCTAGGTCACATACTGTATTGTTACAATCAGCTTAACAGTTAAGCGTGGGTCATAAGCTCGCATTGATTAAGTCCCTGCCTTTAGTACACATCCCCCGTCATAACTCATAGTAACCTACAGTAATATGTGTTATCTTGCAGTTTGGCATAACTCATCTGCAAATGCATTTATTTTAGAAGAGGAATTCATTTTGTAGGAATTAAGAATGAGGTTATATAAAATCACTATAACAGAATATTTACTGTTGCTAATTGTCTGGCATCTTCTCTGATGTATTATTTACAGTGTAGATTTATTTTGATGATTTTAATGAACATTTTCAATGTATATTTTCTCTAGTAATAACTGTCATTTTTGTATTTCACCAGGGAAGTGCTTCTCTCGTGGGTTGCAGTGGCTCTGTGATAGATGGTGACGATGGATCGGAAGGGCTTTTCACTCTCTCACTACTTCTGAACTGGTTCCCCCTTTTCACACAGGAGTGATGGAAATGGTTGGAAAAGTGAACCAGCAGTAGTTGAGACATTTTGGAATTAGGTGGGTGAGCCTGTCTCTAACCGAGATACTACCAGCAGCTCTGTCTCAGTGACCCACTGACTGAGGAGGGGGTCACCATGATCTCCACAGCCTTCCGCTGGCTGGTCCTGGTGTCTTTTATCATCCTGACCATTGGTGGAAACGTGCTGGTGTGTCTGGCTGTGGGGCTCAGTCGGCGACTGTGGCGCATTGCTAACTGCTTTGTGGTGTCGCTGGCAGTGACAGATCTTCTGCTCGGCCTCCTGGTGATGCCCTTTTCTGCCACTTCGGAGCTTGGTGGTGGGAAATGGCCCCTCGGAGGAACCATTTGTAACATCTACATCTCCACAGATGTCATGCTGTGCACAGCTTCCATCCTGACCCTGCTGGCCATCAGCGTGGACCGATACCTCGCCATTTCAGCTCCCCTCAGCTACTCCCAGAGAGTTACCCCTCTGAGGGCGACACTGGGCATGATCGCCATCTGGACCTTGTCACTGGCTGTGTCCTTTGTGCCCATTCACCTGGGCCTGAACACAGCGGATTATAAAGTGCAGCACTTGGACTGGAGCATTGGAGACGAGGACAAGGAGGGACGCTACTGCCAGTTTGAATGGAATAACAACTACGTGTTAATTTATGTTTTTGGCTCATTCTACCTGCCTCTGCTGCTCATGTGTGGAATGTATCTTTGCATATTCAGAGTGGCACGAGAACAGGTCAGTGATTTATTTCATTTTATGGAAAAAGCTGAGCTGGTGTATCAAAAGGTCATGCATAACTTTAGAAATCCAACAAGATTTCAGATCAGTGATCTACATTTCAGTGTGGAAAAAACTGTTGCAACAGACATTAAAGCAACTGGAAACCAAAAATCTACTGAACCCTTGTGTGTACATTAAGGTTTCATGTGAATAATGTTTAACATGTACAATGTATTCATAGTTATTCTCTATACACATTAGAATATTTGTTGCTTTCAGTTTGCGCATGGTCCTTTCTGCAAACCATTTGGCTACTTACACTTAGCATGAACGATGTTCATGGGTATATCACAATGGATGCATGTGGTGAGAGTCAACCGAAGTTGTTTATTTTTTGTTCTAGGTAAGTAGGTTGTGGGTGCTGTTGATCTATTTTGGCATTAGAGAGAGGTTTTGTTAGTAATTATACAGGACTAGCTTACACCAAAGAGCCATTTAGGATTGTATTCATAGCTTCTATAACAAATAAGCATCTAAGCTAACATTTCCAGGGTGTGCAAATTGATAACTGTGAAATAGATAGCAAAGTATTTTGTAACTCACTGCTCAGTGACCAATTGAATTAAACATTTTCAAACAGTAGTTGTTGTGCTTCCTCCTCTGAATCTAACTCAAAACCATGTTAAGTCTTACATGCTGAGACTGTTCAATGTCGACCATGGTTGTCTTTTTTATGGCTTCCTGCGTCTAGTTTAGGGCAATCATGAGTCATTTTGTCAGTGACAGGTTTTAAGGGATGGCGGGGGAAGTTTAGCTTCATAATAACATAGCACTAGCTGAATCACCAGAGCTATCTTTCAGCACTGCTTTTAAAGCTTTGGGACCAAAATGGAAAACTCAACTATGTTGCACGTGTTTGCTAACTGCTAATTAAGATGGATGGCAAAGCATTTTGTAACTGTTTTGGGACCATTTGAATTAAATGTTTTAAAGTAGTAGGGCTTCTGCTTTGTGATTCTAACTTGGACCACCCAAACATAATGTTAACTACACTACGCTTATTGACATATGTGCTGAGTGAAAAGCCATGGAGCTGTCAATCAAAGACCTGATCTGCCAAGCCTCTAGAGTCTCTGGGCTTTAAAGAGTAAAATAACTGGTTTCTAACAGTATGAACCTTTTTACAACTTAATATAGTGTGTGCACTTTTTCTATTTTAAGCCAGATTTCCAGAGGCTTCAAAATCACACTTACAAAGTCACCTTCACTTGTAGTGTACTGCTAAATGTAATCCTTTGTCATGAGATAACTGACAGATCATCTCACTGTCTTTGTCCTCTGGCTCTTACTAACATTTTCATCCTTCTTTTTTCCCCAAGGCACGGCGTATTCGTGCTGCAACTCCTTCATTTGCACGCACAGCATCAACCGCAGCCATCGCCCGGGAGCACAAAGCGACAGTGACCCTGGCAGCTGTACTCGGGGCCTTTGTCATCTGCTGGTTCCCCTACTTCACCTTCTTCACCTGCATGGGCATCAGTGCAAAAACAAACCCCCCTAACACGCTACACTCTGTGGTGCTGTGGCTGGGCTATTTTAACTCTGCTCTTAACCCCATCCTGTATCCAGCCTTCAACAGGGATTTCCGCAAGTCATACGGGGAGCTGCTTCGCTGCAGCGGGCTGTCCCGCAGAAAACTGCAGCTCACGCCTGTGTCTGGGCATAAAAGATTGACCTTTACTAATGGACAAAAGCTTCCCCAGCAGTTTGTGAAACACAAAGACACAATTAAGAAAGACAGTGAGGGGAAGAGCCTCACACTACGTACTTGAGGGGAAGTGGCATCCCTGATGATGAAATACTATGCATCTGTTGGACTGTGGACTGGCATAATGATGTATATTAAAACTTTCTCCAACTCTGACAATAGCACAATGCCTAATCATCCGCAGAATCAGTTAAATTCTTAGCATAAAGTGCCAAAAATACAATTTGTGTGACGCTTGTGGCTCGTCCTAGATAGAAACTCTATAGTTCATTGGCTTATTTCAAAGGCCTGCATTATTTTCTTGATGTTTTCACTACTTGCAATAAATGGATGTATTTTTTATGAACTACAATAGAAGAGTGCTTCACTCAAAACAAAAAATAGGCAGCAGAGAGTGGAGGAGGAGGAACAGGTTCAGTAAGTTTCCCAGACAACTGCACGGAGTCACCGGTGGTTAAAAGTTTGCTAATTGTTTATTTTTTCTTCCCTTTGACCTTGCCAAAGAAAGTGAATCAGTGACCAGAGCGTGATTTGATATGTACAATATGTTTGACTCAACCCAAGCAGGTTGACCTCAGTGGCCTCCTGGATGGTTTCAACACATTGACTGCTACTGGAATGCAGTCAGGTGATTTAGTGAAGTCTGTCTGACAGGCAAAACTAAAATCAATAAACCAACAATGATGTCTAAATCCATAACATGATCATTTCAACTTTCCTAACTTCATGTGCAGTAAATCAACAGTTCAACTACGTCCACAAAACAACAACTGACCGTTGATGAGGATCGTAAATAACGTCTGTTCAGTAAAGATAACTTTGAAAAAAAAAGCTTATTGGCAGATGTGATACCGACCAATAATTAACTGCTTTTTGTTTGTTTTATGATAAACATTTATTTTTCCTAGGTAGAGTATTGAAAAATAAACCTCAGTTTAAAAAGATTTATCAATACAGTATTGCTGTCCTGAAATACATTTTCATGTATCACTTTTTTTTTAAAACTACTTTTTTCCGGCTTTTTATGCCTTTACTTGAGAGGCAGGACAGTGGATAGAGGCAGAAATCAGGGAAAGAGAGAGAGAGTGGGGAGTGACATGCAGGAAAGGAGCCACAGGCCGCCCGTTTCCAGGACAACGGCCTCTGTAAATTGGGCGCGAAAACTAACCACAAGGCCACCGGCGCCCGATGTATTACTTTTTAAGCACATTTTATCAAGAAAAAAATTAAACACTACTTAAACATATGCTGTCAATATTTTTGCATATTTCACACCACATAATGAATGTCTTGTGGCATCTTCATTTGGTCCTTTTAATGATTGAAAACAAGCTAAAGTAGTAATGTGCAGATGGAAATGTTTTTGAAACATTGTCAGTGACATCTTAGGGGCATTAAAGTTTTAAAGTTGGCCCCGCTGCTGTCAGTGAGAGTTTAAGTATTGCTGGGTTGAAGCAAAGGGAAAGAAATCCCTTTGGAAAAGGTTGATAATTTCACTGCTGTTAAAAAAAAAAAAAATGGAATGGTGCTGAGGTGGAGACATTAGATCACACTGAGATTCATGAATATAAGGTTTGAAACTCAAAGTGATTAAGTCAGCAGCTGCATGGTGATATTTGAAATAGAAGGCATAAAAATTAACCCTGATTCAGGTCAGGCAGCAGAGGAGTAAAAAGTCAGAATGGAGCCGTGGGACCATTTAGAGGAAGTATTAAATGCAGCTGACTCCTCTGAAATGAGGAGGATAGATAGTGTTCTTGGTCACGTGCAACACCAACGTCTTCAGCAGAGGAAAGGTCTCTCAGAGTGTCAGTGTTGAGAGTTTGATACTCAGTCAAACTGGCTGCAAGCCGTCAGAGGAGGCTCTATGGATTATTTGCATTCACAAACCTGGAGAGAAGAGTTAGTATGTTTACATCCTACAATACTGTCTATAAATCAATCTCCAGAATATGACTGCATAATTCCCTGTTATTAATTGTTGCCTTAAGATTTCTTCTGCACTGAATTAAAAAGACATCATGTGTTCGTTATAAGGCTTTAAAGACGGGAAAAGGTTCTTTTTTTTCTCGCTTTGAACAAGGCCAGGCTTTAGCTGTTCTCCCACACTTTTAGCATTGTGCTATTCTGGTTTATTGCCTCCTGCTTTAAATACATACAGCAGATATTTAGACATTACTGACATTTTATTATAACTTTCAGCAAGAGGGCAATTGCTATTCAACAACTTTGAATTACTCATTTTAGACTTCATAAATAATTATCTGTTAGGAGCTTGATTTTCTTTTATCTGTGCAGGACAAAGAACAAGTTCTGAATGAAACTTAACGAGCTGCAAGTCTAGCATTGTGGTGACATGCAGAAGGGACATTGTTTGACTAATTGACCTTTTAACATTTTAAGAACTATTCACAAGAAGATAAGGGGAGAGCAATGGGCCTCATTCACTAATAAGAATTTATTCTGAAGTTTTTCTTAGGAAGATTCTAAGAAGACTCTCCATCAGATTCATCAACGTATCCTGAAATGAACTGTTCGCAGCTGTGTTTTAAGTCCTTGCGTTCGAAGTGTGTGCTTGTTTTTCCTAATTATCATAGGTAACCACCCACTACTGCCCATAAAAGGGCATGAGTGCAGGGCCCTTGTGACGTGAAATGCGAGCCGCCTAGTGGGCCACTTTTGGTAAGCAGAACTAGCGATATGATTCCCAGGGGAAGCCCACAAGAATGGAAAGGTAAACAAATGCCATGAAACGGAAAAAAAATTAGAGATGATAAATAAGCAGGAAGGTGAAACCACCCTCTATTTACAGTCTACTAAATAAGTATATTTGGAAACTATAGCTTATTGAGAACTCTACCGCAAGTCTATTAACAAAATAAAGAGAGACAGAGAGCATATTAATCCCAGTATATATATAATAAAAGACAGACCTTTATTTATCCCACAACAAAGAAATATATTTATATATTAAGACCTTTTCATAAAGTGCCATGGCTGTGAGTGAGTTAAGTAAAAAAGGTCAAATAAAAATACCAAATGCCACATGACATCATGCTGTCATGGTTACAGAGAAGTTGCAAAGTGCTATCCCATTGGTAACAAACCATTAAGAGCCCTCGCAGCCACATGCACTCAATCACTTTTCAGGTGACGTCAATTAAGTCCTTAAGGGTTCAGGGATCAAACTAGTAAATTAACGAGTTCGAGACCAGCCTGCGCGAAAATTCTGAAAGTAGAACTCTTAAAATATTTTCCTCTGCAGACACAACTTCCTCAAAGTCAGTGTGGTTCTTTCTTCGGAAAAGAAAGTTGGTCTCAGTGACCCAGTGAAAAGATACTGCGCAGTTTCTTGCAGTATCTTTGCAGGGATCTGATGTTTTATGATGTGCCAACAGAATGTGTAGTTTTTTCATATTTGCACAAGTCAAGCCCCAACACAACTATTTGTGTCTGTTATCAGTCTGCCTTGTTAAAGTGTCTCATGTTCAGAGCCAGTTTGTGTCCTGTTCATACATCATTTTACAGATAAACAAGGTCTTGCAAGGTGAAGTGAAAACTTCTCTTGAACTGTTTTTATCGACTACACAAGGAAGTAGCCTATTTCCTTATTAGGAAAACGTTTACTTAAGTATAACAAGATGCTCAAAGTTTTTCATTTGAGAACAGGCTGCTGCTGCTCTTCTGATATAGACTAAAATAACGACTTTATTGTTTTATTCTTTAAAAACTTTAAGCGTTCGACTCTTATCATTTTCTCTTAATTCTTAGTTTGAGACTTAATTCTCAAAAAGGTACGACCTTATTCATGTAAATTTACAACTTTATTCTTGTAAATTTACGAGTTTAATCTCGAAATTTTTGATTATTTTTTTTAACGTGTCCCTAATCCTCCGTCATACAGTGCAGATGTAAACTTTATGTTTTTTAGATGTGTTGTTGGTCTGCTGCAGACTGGTCAATTATTAATTACACTTAGTTTCACTACAGTGCTTGGCCGTTACACTTAACTCACTTACAATAAAAACAAGAATGCAAACTAATTTTCATACTTAAATAGCCAAAGTTAGGACAGACAAATGTTTTTGAATACAAATGTATCATTAATGTTAACATGTTTTTAGATATCTAAGGGGATATAAAAAAATATATATATATATATATATTTATTTGCAACACGGGAATGGAGTTCTAGGATAAAAGCAGCTTTTTTTGAAAGACGCACTTATTCACTTTTAAAAGAAATGTCTTAATTTTTGAAAATGTTGATTGTTTTTCTTTTCATTAAAGACACTGTACTAAATACAAAATGACAGAAAATTATGTTTGTTCATTCGATCACTAACAACTTATCATCTCAGAGCAAATGTAGCCCTTATTATTGAATTGAACTAAAAATGCATTTATGTTCATCACTTTCTTTATATAGCTTTTGGTTCTATCTATTCAATAAGAGGTTTATCAAGTATGAAATTTTCTTCATTGAGAAGATTTTGGAGCTTTTAATTAACCCCCGGTCTGTGACATAAATGAGGGTTTGTATTAAGCTTTGGCAATGTTCATTATATTTTAACTAACTGTATGATTTTGGGACGGTGATTTGTTTCAGAATTTGTCTTCTGAGACATTACACAATAAAATAAAATGATCCATCACTTACTGCCAAAATGTTAAGAATAAATCTGTGACTCCGATAAGATCAGAAAATAATCTACCCACACTCTTTTTCTTTTTTACATCAAAATGAACCTTTTTCTCTTTTTCATCTCTCTGCTATGGCCCTCCCCCAACTATGAAAGGATCAATGAGCTAGCAAGCAGTTATGTATTGTGACTTTACTGTAAAATCAATTGGACATTAAGCCCCTCTCTTGCTGCAAATAAAATAAAACAGAGACAGATAAAAATGCAGAAAAAATAGCAATCTGCTCGAATGAACATTAGTGCAATTCAAATATATATTTTTATGACTAATGAATAACATTTAAATGGTAAGAGCTTGTATAGATCTTTTCTATGCTTCTGACTACTCAAAGCGCTTTTCACAGCGCAGGTCACCAATTCACACACTGATGGCAGAGGCTGCTCTGTAAAGTCACCATCAGTATTATTGACTAATTCATGCATGTTCACACACTGCTGATGCAGTAATTTAGGGTTGAGTTTCTTGTCCAAGGACACTTTGACATGTGCAGGAGCTGGGGTTTGAACCGTCAACCTTATCAGAAACAAGGGTCTCTATCACTGACCCACAGCCATCCAAACCCTGCCTAAGTACAACCCATACAGTGACAAAATGCACTATGCTCTACCTTTTAGTAGTCTGAGTTCTCTTTATCTGGAAATGTTTGATGATAAATACTGTACTCCAAATGACCCTGAACTAGAAGTAAAAGGGATAAATCAGTAAAACAATCCACCATCGATTATCACCATTACAAAACAGTCAAGCCACACAATATGACTATCTGCAGATGTTGTTAAACATAATGGAACTGAAAAAGTGCCTTTTAATCCAGTTAAATTGGGTTAATCAACTTAGAGATCTACAATGGTTCCATGCACTGTGCGTCACCACGTGTTTTATGAAAACGTATCACTAGCTAAGAACTACGCTAATCCAATATTGCTTGTCTCATTATTTGTATATGTTCCTGTGCCCACACTACATAATGTAATCTCAGATGTTAGGTGTCATTTCAATTGTGGCTATCTCTGTTTACTTTTATATGCTAATTTCCTATGTTACAGCTCTGCAGCCATGAAGATAAATAAAATCCCACCTGCTGAACCAAGAGCGGCGATTTTATCTCACTGTCAATAGTTGTACTGTTGTTTGGGTGTGTGTCCATGTGTGAATTATTCATTCCTGATAACATAGCTTGAGGAAATCAAACAGATGGACGTCGGTACAGTGTTTACAGTCTTTTAGGAACTTAT